GAGCATTACTTTAGAATATTTTATTTAGGGATTAAATCTTGTATTTTGTCAAGGATCAGTGCAAAGATCTTATAGTAGTCTACTATCGGAAAAACTAGTCACTGGTAATATTTTATCACTAAATTCAGAATATCTATAAATAAAAAAATTATATTTTTTTTATTCTCGTAAAGAAAATGTTAGATTTTTAGATTTTGTTATTGAGTTAAGATGTATTTGTTGTGTTTTAAAAAATAATAAAAATTATATTTTTATTATTTTACAGGCTCGGGTCTCCGCTTGACTCCTCCCGGTTCCCCCCTAGAGTACCAGCTATAAATGCCTAGTTATAACATTGACGAGTTAAAACATATAATGCTTCAGTCTTGCATTCTTTAACCTAGAGTACTAGCTATAAATGCCAAGTTACTCTCGGCTGGCGTTTCAACTAGATCGTGTAATTAACTCATTCAATCGTGTAATCAATTTGCGATACTTATTGAACCGGCACTTCAAATTCCGCCCAATCAATTATTGATCGTTGAATTAATTTCTGGCCAGCGTATATTTCATTTAATTTTGAATTATAGACGTTTCTATTCCAAAAAAATAATAGCAATCATCAATCAAGCACACTCAGCCACTTGTCAATACCTCTCCTCCTTTTCTTCTTCTTTTTTTTCAAAATCCATGATTGGCAATTGCGCAGAGATTAGTTCAAGCTATCGCTATATCCTTATAAAACTAATTACATAAAAATGTCGATTACATCAACAAGAGTTATATTATTATTATTATTATTATATTTATATTGGATATTCAGAACAACTTGCACATCTTTCAACAATCTCCACAGCAATTTACCGACCAGGATTTGAATTGCTGGTACGGATAAACATTTGACAAATGACATCATCAATTGCAGGTGATTCACCACCCATGACACCGTGTAACCCAAGGCACTAATTATTTGCATTGATAGATATTTTTACTAGCTATTTTTATTTTTTATATATATTTTTGTTTTTCTGGTAATTTTTCCTGTTTCAAAAGAATCGCTTTATATATATATATATATTAATTTTTATATTCATCGTTATCAGGATTTTACTGTTTTTTTATATATAAAGAATTGTACTCGTATTTTTTGCCGAGGGAGCTCATGAGTGAATATAAAACACGTAGGGTTATAATAGTTTATTAACAAGTGAAAGATACTGTCGAATAAAATTAAATGTTTTAAAATCCCCTTACAATAACTTGTTTCAAATGTTGCGTTATACTTTGCTTTATTATTTGAGACAGGGAAAGCTGTCGTTAGAATTCGGCTTGGCAGATGCAGCGAGAACTTACCAGGCCACTACTCCCAAATTTGGCCTCTACCCAGGCACCCACCCACGCGACCCGCACTCCCTCTCTCTCTCTATATAGCACCACCTTTTTCACTCCCTCCCAAAACACACCTCTACACCGTTACGCGCACACACTCCATTTCTCTCCGTCTATCCCGAACTGTTTTCCCACCATTTTCTCCTTTCTCTCCACCACTCACACACCAGAAAAACATTCCTTTCACTTCTCCCATGAAAAAAGCTCATCTCTCTCAACAAACTCTCCTAACTAGTCTCTAACAAAATCAACAAAAATCTCACCTCTTCTTCTTCTTCGCTACCAGTCAGTACTCTTATTCTCTATCGCCTCTTTTCTTTTCAATTTTACCCCTACACAAATGGAAAAAAAGCAAGGTTTTTTCTCAGCTCTCAAAGAAGAAATAGTCGGAGGATTCTCCCCTTCTCGTTCTCGCTCAAACAGCCCGGCCAGAACTGCTTCATCAATGTCGGGTCTGCTCTACCGAAAAAAACACAGAAAGGACACTTCATCCTACGGCGCACAACCAGAACCGTTGTTTGGGAAATCAAGGAGCTCAAGGCCAATGGTGGGGGAAACGTTATCTCCACTAATAGAGGGCCCGGATCCCGATGGAGGGGTAGGTGAGCATAAACGGGCCGGGTATGGGCCGGGTCTGGGTCAGTGGATGAAAGGGCAATTATCGAGGACTCCATCTGTTAGTAGTTTGGCTTATAAGAGGTCTGATCTGAGGTTATTGCTTGGTGTCATGGGTGCACCATTGGCTCCGGTGCATGTTAGCACTTTAGACCCTTTGCCTCACCTTAGCATTAAAGACACCACCATTGTAAACTCTCTCCCTCTGCCTCTATTTTTCTTTATTGTTAATAATGTAAAAAGGGTTTTTGTTCTGTGTGTGTGTGACTTGTAAGGTTTTTTTTTTTTTTTTGGGTGGGGGTGGGGGGGTAACCAAAATGAAGGGGGAATATTTTTTCAATTTATTAATTACGAACACTGTTTGTTTTGTGGAGAAGGTTAAGTGGAAAGTACTAACTACTAAGTAGAGTTGGGATTGGACCTTGGCTAAGTAAGATTGTTAGTTTTGTGGGTTTCTTTTTCTTTTTGGGTTTTGATGTTTTCCTTTTAAGAATGGAGAAAGTTAGTTTTGGGGTGTTTATACCTAGACTAACGATTTTTTTTATTTTTTATTTTTTTGTGAACGTAATGCTTTTGTTTGGTGAGCTACTGGATTCTTGAGAGTTATTGTACTAGTGAATTGCCAAATCCATGGAATCTTTTATTTTTGTTGGTTTTTTTTTTTGGTTTTTTCGGGTCAATCTTTTGTTTGGTTGCTGAGAAAACAGAGGAAAAGTCACAGAATTAAAAGTTCATGATGTTATGTTACATGTTTTCCTGCTCACGTTATTGAAAAAATGTGATGCTCTAAGGATTTTCTTTTTTTCCTTTTTCCACATAAGTTAAAACTTAAAATTGATGCTTGCATCGTAGTGTGAAATAGGTTGCTGCTAGCTGGCAGTGTTAATGCTCGTATTTTCTCCAAATTGGACATGACTTCATTTCTCTGCTCTATAACTTGGTGGAAATCGTTCCAATTTTTTTGAAAAATAGAAAAGAGCCACTCTTAATATTTTGTCTTCCATGGGATTGTATTGCTGCAGGAAACTTCCTCTGCTCAATACATATTGCAGCAGTACATGGCAGCGTCTGGTGGGCAGCAGTTGCAGACCTCGATTCGAAATGCATATGCCATGGGAAAGCTTAAGATGATAGTTTCGGAGTCTGAAACACCCACAAGGGTGGTGAAGAACCGCAATGATGCTAGAGGTGTCGAGTCAGGTGGGTTTGTGCTTTGGCAGATGAATCCTGATATGTGGTATGTTGAGCTTGCCGTTGGGGGTGATAAGGTTCGTGCTGGCTGCAATGGCAAACTTGTCTGGAGGCACACACCTTGGCTTGGTGCACATACTGCCAAAGGTCCTGTTAGACCATTGCGTAGAGCGCTCCAGGTGAAGTTTTTTTATGCTTCCTCTTGCAATTTGTGCTTTGGACATTTACATTTGTTCTAGTGATTGGCTCATCCGTGTACTTTTTTATGCCATTTCAGGGTCTTGATCCAAGAACCACGGCTAGTATGTTTGCAGATGCAAGGTGCATAGGAGAGAAAAACATAAATGGCGAGGACTGCTTTATACTAAAGGTATTGGCTGATCCACAGACTCTGAAAGCTCGGAGTGAAGGCCCAGGCGAGATCATAAGGCATGTTTTGTTTGGCTACTTCAGCCAAAAGACTGGACTTCTTGTTCATATGGAGGATTCACATCTGACCCGCAACCAATCCATTGGCGGGGATGCAGTTTACTGGGAAACAACAATCAATTCATTCCTTGATGATTACAGGCCAGTCGAAGGGATCATGATTGCCCACTCAGGTCGCTCTGCGGTGACTCTTTACAGGTTTGGTGAGGTGGCAATGAGCCATACCAAGACAAAGATGGAGGAAGCTTGGACTATTGAAGAGGTTGCGTTCAACGTGCCTGGCCTTTCAGTAGACTGTTTTATCCCCCCAGCAGATTTAAAATCAGGGTCCTTTAGTGAAGCTTGTGAGCTACCTCAAGAAGAAAGGTGAAAGAGTGCAGTGGCATTAGGAGCACTTCGGGCGAAAGTTGTAGCACTAGATAAATCAGAATGATAGCTGTGGAGATAACATGACGTGGAAGACGGAGGTCTAATCCAGGGTAGGATTGCATCACTACAATTGTTTATACTGGTAACTAGCTACAATTGACTGGGTTAGGAATTACGAAGTAGGAATTGAAGTCATTTTTTGGACTTCGGAATCTACCTCTGTTAATCTGTAAAATAGAGCATAATCATTCACTGTCTCAAAGTGGGGCGTAGACGAATCTTTATACTCTCAATGCAGAATCCAGCGAGGGAGTTGGAGCTCGGTTTTCCAATTAGGGATAGAACAAATGGAGGGTTTAGTTTTAGTTTACCTTCCATGCCTGGAAGAAGGTGGTGAAGCTTTAAAATAGTAGAACAATAACATTCTATACTTCAACTAATTCTGAGTGCATACAGCAGTGGCGGTGGAAAGGAAATTTGCCTCTGGCTAACATGAGTCTAACGCTTATGTCTACTTTGTTCATTTCTGTTTGTGGGCTTGTTACTCTTGGTGTGATTGCTTAATTCATCTTGAAGGTTCTTTGTTTTGAAGGAAATGGGATTTTTTGTAGCTGTTGAATGCAAGCAAGAGAGACGAACCATTTCCTTTACCAATATGTTTCTGTGTTTTGCGGCACTTTTTCCAGTGCTGTTGATCAACTATCGAATGCTTCATGCATATGAGCGTAGAGATCAACATCACTTCATCTCAAGCTTTTGGATCTGCAAGAAATTAAACATTTCAGCCTCCCATCGTTTGGAGCTTTCTATCTCATTCATCGTGCAATGTACAGGGCTTTTTTTATTGCTTGTACCAGATTCATTTCTGGCCGCTGCTGATTGGTGTCTGAGGTGTTTGAAAGTTTGGTTATAATTATTTTTTATATAGTAAATTAAAATAATTTGAAAATATTAAAAAAATATTAATCTGAAGATAAAAAAATTTAAATTCTTCAAAAATATAAAAATAAATAGGACATAGGAGCACATTTCTCTCTTCGCGGTCGCTGACAGCATCAAGTGGTGACGGTGAAAAGTTCAGCAGCAGTATTCCATGGTTTCCTCTCTGTACAGTTGACCCCTTCTTGGTGGGGTCTTCGACTTTTTTTAAAGGCAGTGTATGTTAATTAAGAGAATTTGACCCTTGGATCCAAACCCATTGGCATGAGCTTAGGTTTTTATGCGGGCTTGCATCGTTTGAGGCGAAACCTGTGCGTGGAACATGTCATTGCAGCGAGGTACGGGGTAAAAAGTCCCCAAAACCCCATGTGATTTCTTCCCCTTGCTTTTGCTTTCTCTTCCTAAACTGCTTTGTTTCGTCATACCTCATTTTTTTTCCCCTGCCTTTTGCAGACATTGTCTCTTCACATTTTAACCAGGTCGATTTAGCTGCTTATACAAATATTAACCATGTAAATATATATTTTTAATTAATTTATACTGTGATTCATTTGATTAGCATGTGTTAGTTGAAGCTCGTAAGTTTCATTTATTCTACGAATAAAATCTGTTTATTTATTGAAAAATAATTTTTTTAAAATAAAATTTAAAAAAATAAATTATTTTTTGATATTTGGTGATTACAATAAGTTAAAAAATAGTTTCTAGTGTTTGATTATATCATGAAAAATAAGTTGAAAAATAACTTATTAATATTTTATTTTTTTCAAGTTTATTAAAATAATAAGAAACAAATCTTATAAATTAAATAGTTGAATGAGAATGAAATTAAAAAAATATATAATTTCATAAATTATCTCAAATAAAATAAATAATAATCAAAACAATAGAGATCAAATATAAAAAATTAAAATAATAATAATCAACATTTCAAAAATTATTTCAAATAAAATAGGTAACAATCAAAAGAATAATGATCAAATTTGATAGATAAAAAATTTCAATAAAAAAATGATAAGAAAAAAGAAAATAACAATTATAAAAATAAGGATCAAAGTTAATATAAAAATTAAATTTTAAGAGATGAAATTGAAAAATAAATATTTAAAATAAAATATATATAGCAATAAAAAATTTAAGGATCAAATTTAATATAACCAACAAATAATAGCATTTCCAAATTTTTCACAATTTTTATAAAGTGTTTTCCTCTCAAATTTTTTAAGAAAACACTTTACTGGGAAACCAGAACAAATTTTTCTTTATTTGGAAAGTGTTTTTCGTTGATCAACTTTCCTAACGGCAAACAAATACAAAAAAATTTGGAAAGTGATTTTCTGTAAATCACTTTTCAAAAAACAAACACCGCAAAAAAGAAAATATTTTTCTGAAAACCAAGTCAATTTTTTTTTTAATTGAAAAGTGTTTTTTGTTAACTAAAAAATATTTTTTGTTAATCAACTTTTCTAATGATAAATAAATATAAAAAAATTTAAAAAATAATTTATCAAAAATTACTTATCAAAAAACAAACATAACCTGATATTATGATTTATGCTAATGACATCACGTCATCTATTTTTACTCTTTGAAAAACACAGGCCGTGAACTACCCCAAGGGCATAGACCTTCGAGTCTATGTGAACAGGCTTTGTTGCAAGAGGCTCAACCATTTTAATTACTCATACACGTGTATTTAGATTTTTTTTATTGATCATTTGGATTATTATTATTTTAATTTTATCTAAAACCTGTGCTAAGTAAATAGTCTAGTTTAGGGTTTTTAAATTTAAGCTCTGTATCAAATTTAATGAAAATTCTAAAAAATTTATGTGATCTAGATTTTTTCTTACAGGAAATAACGAAGTTACATTTACTATTTACTATGGAAAGTTCCACTCTTCCTCTTCTTGCTTGCTTGAAATTGAGTTTCTTGCTTGCTTGAAATTGAGTTTCAGTTCATTTTTAATATTATGTTTGCCTTTGAAAAATATATTGAATTAATGTTTTTAGTGTTTTTTAATGATTTTGATATGCTGGTATAAAAAAATTATTTTAATATATTTTTAAATAAAAAATACTTTTTAAAAACATTTAAGAACAAAAGTTATTACAGCATCAAACTAACATGACATATGTTTTTGTATGGTCAGGTTTCTAATTGATAGTTTTCTCTTCCATTATTTATGATAACATTACCTTGATTAAATTTAATTTTTTTTTTTTATCTAGATTATATAACATGAAACTTTTTTTGCTATCATGCATTTGTTTATGGTCTTCTCACTTCTGCATAGATAAAGGATTAATGTGTAATTTCATCTTATGATTCTCGGTACACTGTGGGCTGGGTTAATTTTTTAATATAAAAAAAATCCAAATGTTGTTACTCTATTTCCAAGAAGTAAATAAATACTGTAGCTCAAGTTAAGTCTAACTAAGTCTAATAAGCTATTTTTATTTAAGCTTATTATTTAATTACATAATGAAAAAAAAAGTTAAGACAATAAATGAACAATTATTTACATGAAAAGGCATTAATAACAACCTCCATGAAAATAATGTTTACTAAAATAAAATAAAAAATCATTAAGTTTAATTATCATAAAACAAATGTTGGGCAACGTGATTTTTTTAAAAAAATAAAAATAAAAAATGACCCATGTGTGAGCTGGGATTGCATGCAAAACATGCAACTTGGGTTGCAAGGTAGAAACAACTTTGTATAAAATAAATAGAAAAAATTATGATGTTTAATTCCTAACAATTTAATTATAAAAAAAATAACTAAAAAGATAAAAAAATCCATCAAATATGGACATGCTTGCCAAGTTTCGTGAGTTTGATCATGAAAATAAAATAATCTAATAGAAGGTGGAACATAAAAAAAAATGAAGTTTAATTTTCAAACTAATCAAGCATTAAATAAAAAAATAAAAAAATATATATAAAATAAAAAAAAAATTGGGTAAATTCTAATTAACATATTAAACCCACAATCTAAATCATTAAAATAGGCTCACCTCACATAAAAAAAAATCATTAAATCTAAAATTTCAACAAACCTAGTATCAAGGGATTAAATAAAAATAGGAGAAAATTGGTGTAAAGGATTTAAACAAAAGATCGATATCAATTTGAGCTAACCTTCGAAACATGTAATCTGAATTACAGAGCTAGGATCACCCCACAAAAAAAAAATCATAAAACCGAACTTCAAACCAACTCAATATTAAATGATGAAATTGAAAAAAAAAACAATATTAAAGAACAACCCAAAACAAAAAAACAACAATCAAAATAATAAAAAAAAATTGATATAAAATAAAATGACATGATAGCTTTTATTTTTTTATTGGACAGGTGTGAATCCCACAAATAAAAAATTAGGGGGGAATGAAAAAAATTATCACTGCCACCTAACCACTAACAATCAACTAACATTCACTATTTTAATGGACAAAACTGAATAAAAAAGCTATTTTGGTTAGTTTCTCATCAATATATGTTAGACTCCTATCTAACTAGTTAAAATTACATATTATTATAAATCCAACTATATTATTAATATTAATAAAACATATTTAGAATAAAATTTCATAAAAATATGTTTTTTCATGTGAAATGATCAACTATTTTATACAGTTGAATTAACTGACTTGATCGGTTATGCCAAAAAATTAGGAGTATTGCCCTTGTTATGTTGTTAGGCTTAAAAAATATGACTATTTAAATGTCATTATTGTGAAGTATGACAACTATTTTATTGCATGTTATTACAAATTCAATTATATTCTTAACATCGATAAAACATATTTGGAATAAAAATTCATAAAAAATATATTTTTCATATGAAATGACTGATCATTTCATTAAATTGAATCAATTGACCAGTTAAGCCAAAAATAAGTAATAATGCCCTTATTATGCTGTTAAGCTTCAAAAACATGACTATTTAAATGACATTATTATGAAACACAATAATTATTTTATTGCATGTTATTATAAATCTAACTATATTATTAACATTGATAAAACATACTTGGAATAAAAGTTTATGAAAATATGTTTTTTCATGTGAAATGACAGACTATTTCATACAATTAAATTAAATGGCTGACCGGTTAAGCAAGAAAATTAGTAGTGATGCTCTTGTTATGTTATTAAGCTTCAAAAATACAACTATCTAAATGCTGTTATTAAGAAGCAAAATAACTGTCTTGTTATACTTAGAAATAACAATATTTAATAAGTATCATATTTAGAAATGCAATAAAATAAAAACATGATATACTATTTCACTATTTTTTTATACAAATAATGTTATCATATCAAAAAAGCATTTATTTTTTCATCAGTTTTATTCCTTCGGCCATGATGTAATTTGGGTCTGCGCAGTGATAAATGAGAATGCAGTGAGGCTGCGCACCAGGTATCCTCAAGTGAGAATGATATCTGAGCTACTATAACGTCCTCGCCTGTTTTTTTCCTTCAATATTTACAGGTGGAATGTCAAGCCAGCTAATTACTTCAACAACCACAAAAGTTTGCAACGACCTTTGTTTTTGTTTTATATAGTAATAATATTTGGCACATTCCTCTCGTACATATTACATACATTAGACTTAAAAACATCATCCCAACCATCGAGGTAGTTCTAATGTTATTATCAAATATATTTTTCTTTATCAAAATTTTAGATTCTTTATCCGTACATTCAATCAAATTATATTGCTTTTTTAAAATAAATAAATAAATAAAGTTGCTCTATAAAGAATTTAATGTTTTTTTGGATGGCGGTGGAGTCCATTATTGTCATCAGTGGTATTTTCCTTAAAGTTATTGGATTAATATTGTTAATGTTTTTTTAAAGGTAAATATAATGTTAGAATTTCTTTGAAATATCATGTTTTTTACATTGATAATTTTAAATATTGTGTTTTTCAACTGTGATGTGTCGGATATATTATTTCATCTGGTTTTTTTTTTATAAAAAAATTGTGGTCTTATTAATTTTTTTATAACAGTGCCAGTAAGCAGAAATACCCTTTAATCTGCCTGTTTCAGACAGGTGTGTGTGTCATGATTTTGATGTGCGCTTAATTACAGTTTAGTTAGTACAAGGATTGAGACCCTTCAACAAATACAATGATTTTGAGGTCCCTCGACAAGTTTAATTGGCATTGAAGTTGCTGGCGTATAACCTCAACTGCCATTTTTGCCTGACAAAGAATTAAAGAACGGCAGGTAGCTAGGAATTGTGCAGCGTGCTGCCTGGTTTTAAGCGACGTGTGTGCACACACACGTGTGTTTTTGGGTAAGCGAGCTTGTTCAGTGTGGTAAAGGGTGTTGAGTCAAGACAGGACGAGTTGAGAGATACTAGCTATTATTTTTAAAAATATTTTTTATTTATAAAAATATTAATTTTAAATAAAAAAATTTTAAAAAATATTTCCAAAACGCAATCTTAATCGTACAGGGAGTAGGAGATCCGTTGAATTTGGTGAAGCTTAAATGCCTTGTCATGTACGAGTATATGCCTCCAAATTCTTCACGGGGAATGGTATCTAATTATTCTAAGTATAGCTCATC